CTATATCTTTATTTGGCTAATTTATGCATATATATTTCATCCTCCTTAGTATGTAATCTATTATATAAATCATTAAAAACTAAAATCTTTGCATCACATATTGCTTTCTTAGACACCTTACGAGCCTTTTTATATCTTTCCAAATTTTCAAAGCTTTTACTTCTAAACCAATTATCATAACAACACTTCTTATTTTTGATGTTTTCTTACACATTTTGATTCCACCACAAACTATTTTTGTTATTAGGAGTTTTTCATTTTGAAACTCCTAGCTCATCCTTTGCAATATTATTAGCTATTTTTTCCCACATAACATTTGCTTCTTCATGCATAGATAAAATCTTAAGATCTCGAACCGTACTCTTGATAATATTTTTTTTAGCGTTCTTTAAATGTCCCTATCTAATCTTAGAACTACGTTTTACCATATATTTTCATATTATGTTCCTCTCATCTTAAAGTTCGAAATCAATAAGCAATATTGGGTACATAAACTTTTACTCTGAATATCCTTACAATCTTTGCAATCTAAACGATCTTCTTATAAGAAAATAATCAATCTGAGTTTTACTATATCTATTCTTATAAGTAATGAGATGCACATCTCTTCTCTTAAATAAGGTATTAACAATTACAAAATCATAAGCTAGAGTAAAATCTAATATAGTCTAACCACCTTCATTTGTCGCTCCAAAAACCCATAGCCACCATGAATGCTTTTAAAATCCCTTATGTCTCTACCAACATGTTCATTTAAATCTTCTCTAATAAAAACTCTTTCTTCAAGAGGTATCTTTTAAACTAATTCTTTTAAGTCATTCCAAAATTTTAATTTTAAACACATATCCAAACTTACTTGAGGAGCATAAGCACTTATAATATTAATAAACTTAGCATCAACAATAATCTTCAAAGTTATAATTATGTCTCCAATTTATCAATTTTTATAACATTATCCTTTAAATTCTTATCTATACTCACACCTACACCATTTCGAGTACTTCTACCAGAATACTAAAGTTTAAATCCTAAACTATTAATCTCCTTAGCCTTCTCTCCAACTTATTTAGTTTCCTGAATGCATAAAATATTTATCTTCCTATGAATAATAATATCAATTAATTTGATTAATTTGCTTGTAAGAGAACTTACATTCCAAGTCCTATTTGAATTCTTGTTTCATAGACTAGCTTATGTGCTCCCATCCATCCATGATGTGGAAACCCTTGCCTATTTAACACTGCACTCGGGCACCGATGTAGCAGCCCTTGCACATTTCTCGCTGTATTCAGGCCATACAACATGCCGCTTTCAAGGAACTCCCTAGCATTAACATAATGCATTAAGGGATTCATGTCATGATTATTCGACAAGTTTTAACACTGGCTGTCGACTACTTAACATAATCTTCCACTTTTTTCATCTAGGACTTGAGACCTTACACTACAGGAAAATCACTTATTACCGGCGGAATTTTCTGGCGATTAGTTTTCCGGCGGCTTTCCGGCGGTTTTTGACGGCTTATTTCCTACAAAAATTTCCGGCGGATTACCGGCGGCTTTCCG